CCCTCCTCTTGTTTGTATAAATAACCCCGAAGTACAAATTCTCATTCAGAGCGTCTGTTTCGGTCTCACGTCTAGTTACTATTTAGCAGGACTGCAGTGACATGTAAAAGAAAACTCCACTCAGTTTGCTTAGGCCACAGCTCATAAGGCAAGGTATGCGTCTCGCAAGGAAGAAACCGTGAAATGGTTTTGACCCTAATGGGATGAATTTGACCCTAAGGGGATGAATCCAATTACACCAGTGTAACCCCTGAAGCACTCCCCTTGCTGAGAACAGACACTGTTTGTGACAAGTGTCCAAGTGAGAGACTCTTTGAAAAAGTCTCCTTCCTCCTTTGACATCCTGGTTCACTAATTCTACAGCTGTCTGACGAAATCCTACGGCCCATAGCTTCCACTCCCAATGGCATCGGGGGAGGTTTGCCGGCTTCAGAGCTGCAGGGTTTGAATGTTAGGGCTACATTCCATTCTCCTTACACTTGCGTAATCTGAGGTAACTCTTCACTGTCCCACGATGGCTTTGAGGCCAATACTTAAGCAAGATTCAAAGAGGGACTGGACCGTTCTATGGCTACCAACAATATAAAAGCTCCTGCACTCTTTGGAAGGGATATCAAACATCATACTTCATGGTTAAAAGCCAGTCTCTAACTCTGAGGGATTAGGATGAAAGCTTCATGGGAGGGCCGATTATCCCATACATGCCTATTATGGGGTTACTTGCACCTTCCTCTCAACCAACTGGTGTTGGCCCTGCTTGGAGACAGCACCCTGGACTGGAGGGACCCCCAAGCCTGTTCTAATCCGGTATCCCTATATCCTATGTTCATTGACTTCAGCGGTGTTACACTAGTGATAGCAAAGGGGGAATCAGACCCATACTGCTTAAAAAGTAAATGCTCTGTTTAAATATTAGTTTTTCTACTTATGAAGCCATTATTCAAGCAGGATGAAAACCGGTCTCCAAGCTCTGACCAGGGGCTTTCTTATTGTCAATTTCCAGCAAAATGTTCCAGCAACAAGAGGCTCAAAAACCTCATTGGTGAGTCACAAAGAATTCATTCCTGACCAGAAGGTCCCTTACCTTCTGACCGTCTAATGAGGGGGGGATGTTTGAGGTGGGAGGTGGCGGATGGAGTTTTCTGCTAGCCCCAGCAATAACCTTTAACATCGATTGTTTTGGGGTAAAAGTAAACATGCTTCATTCTCTTGAAAGTTTTAGTTTCACTCTTTATTTCCCATAAATTTGGTGAGAATTGCTGGGCTGAACCAAGCATGAATAAAAACAGGAAGCCGTAAAGAAACAAATCCCATTCATTCTAAAGAGTTACACATTAACTTTCAGGAAGCTGTTAAACCTCTTCTGAACTGTAAGGCCTAAATTTGGGAATACTACTTGCAACTACACCAAAAAGAGAAAAAAAGGAGCACTCGAGGAAGACAAGGCTGTTGTGGAGAAGCGAACAGAATTCTTTGCATCGGTCTTCACTGCAGAGGATGTGAGGGAGATTCCCACACTTGAGCTATTCTTTTTAGGTGACAGATCTGAGGCTCTGTCCCAGATTGAGGTGTCATTAGAGGAGATTTTGGAACAAATTGATAAACTAAACAGTAATAAGTCACCAGGCCCAGATGTATTCACCCAAGAGTTCTGAAGGAACTCTCATGAAATTTCAGAAGGACTAACTGTGGTATACAATATATTCTTTAATCAGCCTCTGTACCAGATGACTGGTGGATAGCTAATGTAACACTGGTTTTTAAAGATGCCTCCAGAGGCAATCCTGGAAACTACAAGCCGGTAAGCCTAACTTCAGTAGTAAAGAACAGAATGATCAGAGTCATAGATGAACACGATTTGTTGGGGAAGAATCAACATAGCTTCTGTAAAGGGAAATCATGCCTCAGCAATCTATTAGAATTCTTTGAGGGGGTCAACAAACATGTGGATATAGTGTACTTGGACTTTGAGAAAACCTTTGACAAGGTCCCTCACCAAAGGCTCTTAAGCAAAGGAAGCTGCCATGGGATAAGAGGGAAGGTCCTCTCATGGATCAGTAACTGGTTAAAAGACAGGAAACAAAGGGTAGGAGTAAATGGTCAGTTTTCACGGTAGAGAGGGGTAAATAACGGGGTACTCCAAGGATCTGTACTGGGACCAGTGCTGTTCAACATATTCATCAATGATCTGGAAAAAGGAGTAAACAGTGAGGCGGTAAAATTTACAAACTATATAAAATTATTCAAGATAGTTACGTTCAAAGCGTACAGTGAAGTGTTACAAAGTGATCTCGGTGACGGCAATGAAATGGCAAATGAAATTCAATGTCGATAAGTGAAAAGTAATGCACTTTGGAAAACATAATTCCAACTATACAAACAAAATGATGGGGTCTAAATTATCTGTTACAACTCAAGAAAGATCTTGGAGTCATCATGGATAGTTCTCTGAAAACATCTGTTCAATGTGTAGCAGCCGTCAACAAGCCTAACAGAATGTTAGGAATCGTTAGAAAAGGGATAGATAATAAGAGAGAAAATATCATAGTGACACTATATAAATCCATGGTATGCCCACACCCTGAATACTGCGTGCAGTTCCAGTTGCCGCATCTCAGAAAAGAGAAAAAATACAGAGAAGGACAACAAAAATGATTTGGGGTATGGAACAACTTCCATATGAAGAAAGATGAAATACCTGGGACTGTTCAGTTTAGAAAAGAGGCGACTAAGGGGGTCATATGCGAGAGGCCTATAAAATCATGGCTGTTGTGGAGAAAGTGAAGAGAGAAGTGTTATTTACCCATTCACATAACACACAAACCAGTAGTCACTCAATTAAATTAATAGACAGTAGGTTTAAAACAAACATAAGATACATAAGAAAGTTCTTCTTCACACAACGCACAGTGAACCACTGGAATTCGTTGCCAAGGGATGTTGTGAAGGCCAGAAGTATAAATGAGGACAAAAAGTTCCTGGAGGACAGGTCTATCAATGGCTATTAGTCAAGATGGTCGGGGGACAACCCGTACTCTAGGTGTCCCTGAACCTCACACTGCCAGAAGCTGGGACTGGATGACAGAGGATTAATCACTTGATAAACTGTCCTGTTCTGTTCATTCCCTCTGAAGCACCTGGCACTGGCCACTGTCGGAGGACAGGATACTGGGCTAGATGAATCATTGGTCTGGCCCAGTATGGCCGTTCTTATACCGCTTCGGACAGAGAGAAACGAACAGAATCCCTGGAAAGGCAAGGGAAAATGCCTGCGGTCTCAACACAATCTCGTGACAGAGAGTGAGGTATCCATCTAGGACCTATGGTGTGGAATGAGGAAACATTACGCCTGATGTGAAGCACTCCGTCTAACCAAGACTAAAGGCACCTGAGTGAGAGTAGCACACACCAAGGGCAGGTCTATACTTCAAATGCTGCAGCAGCACAGTTGCCCCAGCGCCGCTGCAGCGCTTCAGTGAAGACGCTATGATGTCGACCGGAGAGCATCTCCCATCAGCATAGTGAATCCACCTCCCCACGAGGCAGTAGCTCCGGCGATGTGAGAAGCCCTCCCATTGGCGTAGCGCTGTCCATACCAGGGGTTAGGTCAGTACAACGGCGTCACTCAGGGGGGTGGGTTTTTCAGTTCTAACAGTGTAAGTTCATAGTGTAGACCTGGGCCCAGGGATTACAAGATGTGTGAGCTTAACACATTCTCATACCTTCCTGTTAGCGACCTTTGCTGCTGCTCTTCTCTCTGACCGAGGTGGATTCCCTTAGACTCAATGGGTCCAGCTGGAAGGAGGTGTGCAAAGTGGGGAAGTTACACGTCAATGAATGAGTGACGGTCTAAGGGGGTCGAAGTTGGTGCAACGAGCATGGCCAAGGGGCTGACACTCATGTGACTTGCTTCTGAACATGGCCAAGGCATTTTGATTTCCCCCTCAGGTTCTTCCTTACACACTTCTTAATTTAAAAAACCTGTTGGTGGTTCCCATCCTCTGCTCCCACTAAAACACTTGTGGGAAAGAAGAAAAGGCCACAGGAAACTACAAGGGACCAGACTGTCCAAGCTCCTGCCAGAGAGCGGTTTGTAGCCTCATGGACCTAAAGAGAACAAGGTCTCTTCGCTCTCAGAGCCCAAAAGTCAGCAGGCAGAGTCTCTGGATCCCAGGGCCTCTATGTAAGGAGCCAACCTCCACTGCAGCATTGCTTAGCTGATGCCAGTCCTCTCTCAGAAGAGCTGCCACTGGCCTCCCTGCTGCACCTGTTCTGAGCCCTATTCCCCAGCCACAGCAGTAGTTGCAGGTGCAGAATGGAAGTTCATGCTGCTCCAAGCAGCATCCGTCTCTGCATGGATTTCCAATGGAAACTCCATGGGGTCTTGAGAAGATCACGCTGGGCAGACTGGCTGCTCCCTAGCTCCACTCCCTCTGGTCCCAGGCTCGGACTTGGAATCCCAGGGAGTGCAGGGTCCGGAGAGTCTCTGCTGCAGTTAGCACTCCCCAGCCTTATAGCTTTCAGTTTGCTGCCACCCCATGTCGCTCTCTCTGCTCCTCTCCCTGCCTCCTAGCAGGGAGGAGTACCTGGGTCATTGCCATTAATTCCACTTCAGCATCAAAAGGCTGCAATCGAGCCTTCACCTTCATTTGCCAGCAGCATGTTTTGTCAGCTGTTGGAGGGTGCAGTGCCACAGGGCTGTGTGCAAAAGGAGACAAGCCCAAGATTTTCCAAACCCAGCCATTTCCCGGGGTATAGTTCAAGCGTCACGGTTCTGTTTAAACATTATCTTGTTCACTGGGACTCAGTTTACAGCACCTCCCTGGGGGAGTTCCCAGCGCTGGAAAAGTAAACAGAATGTGGCTGTAACTAGACACCCTAGCCAACTCCACAAGTGTAGGATGTGCTCCCAAGCATTTCCGTAGGAGCCAGAGACTGGGGACTGTGTGTACATTCTGTGGATTGTCACGGACACTGGGATCTGCCTGGCTCTGCCTTACCTTTCAATTTCTTCTTTCCAAACTTTAATCCAGAGAGCGGCATCCCAAGAGTCTCTTTCAGTGCAATTCCATGGAATTTCTGGAGAAGAAAAGAGAAGATTATTTACAATGGGGATTCCTGCCGCACAAAAAATAAAGGTCTGCAGCCTTCAAATGGAAGAGTTCAATTCCTAAACAATATGACCAATGGCTGGTGATTTTTAATTACATAATCATCTCAGGTTTCCCAATCATCCTGCATAAACCCAGGTTACTTGACTGGGACATTTGGAGCCGCTCGGTTCCTGATCCTGCACGGGGAATATGTTTGGGTGACCAAACAGCAAGTGTGAAAAATCGGGACAGGGGGTGGGGGGTAATAGGTGCCTATATAAGACAAAGCCCCAAATATCGGGACTGTCCCTATAAAATCAGGACATCTGGTCACCCGAGAATGTGTCAGGTGGGAGACAGGGTGCAAAGGGCCTTCCTCCCTCGTGCCACCGACACTCACAGACATTGCCTTGGGGTGCACAGGTACGGCCTGAGGCTAGCACTCACAGTGACAGTTAGGGTTGCCAGTCATCACCACTGACCGGGCCATTAAAAGTCCAGTCGGCGGCACAACAGGGCTAAGTCAGGCTCCCTACCTGCCCTGGCTCCGCGCGGCTCCTGGAAGCGGCCGGCATGTCCCTGTGGCCCCTAGGTGCAGTGGTGGCCAGGGAGGCTCCGCGCGCTGCCCCCGTCCCAAGCGCTGGCTCCGCAGCTCCCATTGGCTAGGAACTGCAGCCAATGGGAGCTGCGGGGGTGGTGCCTGTGGATGGGGGCAGTGTGCAGAGCCACCTGGCCACATCTCCACCTACAGGCCGCAGGGACATGCCGGCCGCTTCCAGGAGCCACCTGAGGTAAGTGTTGCCCGGAGTCCACCCCCACCACACACCAGCCCAAAGCCCCCTCCCACACTCCGACGAGTCTCCGTTCCTGTGTGCTTGACGGATTTTGCCATGATTGATGTCAGGAATTGAGCCTTACCGAGCTAACAGGGCCAGCCTGGGAAGGTTGAGGTACTCCCCGGGTTGTTAGTAAAACAAGTTTTCTGGACACAACAACGAGGCAACGCCAACAAGCTCTCATGCTTTAGTGGGAAATGATTCCTCAAAATACAGCCACTGAGAACAAAGCCGCAGACTGTCACTGAAATACCCAGTCCCAGCGCAAAGCCGCAGACAACCAGTGTCTTTGCTGCAAGGGTCAGCATATTTGGTCACAGGATAATGTCCATTACTTTCAGTTCTCATGCATTTCTTCATTTTCAGCCCCCACCTATTCCACATGTTTAGGGTTTCTCTTTCATTTTTAATAAGAGCTGTCGTAGACAACAGGAATGAGCCAATACCCTTTGTACCCGAGTACTATTTCAATATCTCTGGGTCTGAGTTCTGCAGCTCCTATCCCAGCACAGCACGGATTTCTGCCGAGCCTGATATGGAGAAGCCTTGGCATTCAGTTCGTTCTGATTAAGTACCATTCTCTTTATACGCTTTGCCCCTCTGAGGCTGACTCACTCCCTGATCAGATGCCTAGCATGAAGTGAAGGCCTTGAGATACAAACACCCGTCCTTGCAGTCCAGTATCCTGATGCCAGAACTGCTCATGAAGGACACTAACAATGGTGACCTCAGAAAAGCTTCTAAATGTAGAAAGCTTGCCCCAAATTCTCCACATCCAGCCCTGGCTCATGTTTTCCACACCGCTCTGTGTGGTGCAGAGAAATCGAACCAGTACAGTATTTAATACAAGAAATAATGTTAAATTCAGAACACAAACTGCTAAAGAAGAAAATATAAACATCTGGCTGAAACAACCTCCAGAAATTAATTCCATGGGAAAGACCCTGACCCATCTCCCACTTAAGCAACAAGGGCCGCGGTGGGTGGGTGGGGATGTGTGTGTAACTTCAACAGGGAGAATCCAGCTCCCATTTGAGATTAATTCTACCACCAGTTAGCCATCCAAACCTATGTGTGCCGCAGTGAAGACACCTGAGGGGACAGGAACATCAGATTGTATATATTTTCTCCTTGTACTAAGAACTAAATAAAATGTATATGGCCCAATTGCCTCCCTGGTGTAGCTTCACTGGAGTTGCGCCGGGAATTAATTTGGTCTCCTCTCCCCTCCTGGAATTAGAGATAAACAGAAACAAAACCCCCAGATCCCTGGAGAAGCTTTGATCTGGATCCAGAACTTTCTGTGCAGATCCTCTCTGCCCAAAATGTTAATGCAAAGTTACTCCTGAGTAGCTGTAACTCATTAAGCCTGGGACGTAAAAAAAACCCCACAGCAGCTATCACTTCCTCCATCCTCCCAACTCCCATACAGCATCGGCATCACACACAGAATTAGGATGCTCTATTGCTCACCATACCAAGCTCAGTCACTGATTGACCAGAGTCTGCATCCTGAGGGGTGGTGGGTTTTGTTTAATAGCGGATTAATTCTTCTCCTGCTGCTGCAAAGAGGCTTCAGCACTGCATTCTGCACACGGTCTAGCTGGGGTCATTCAGCTCCCCCCGAAAAGAGGAGTTCCACAGTCAAAGACCATTGACGCTGCCTCTGCATGTCTCACTGTGGAGATTGCTAAAAGAACAGGAGTACTTGTGGCACCTTAGAGACTAACAATCCATGAGAGCAGCTGCCTTGGTGGGGAGAGGGAGTGTCTGTGAACCAGGTCCAAGCCTGCGAAAGTCTTAAAGATAAGAGCCAGGATCTAGACCAGGGGTTCTCACAAGACATTTTTTGGTGGCCTCAGAGTGCGGCCACCAACTCTCACCGGTGGTCGCTCGGACAATTTTTCCTAAAATACTTTAATTAACGTTAGGAAAAACAAATAAATAGGCACATGTCCATGTCCAAATCATTGTAATTTATATATGTGGGGTTTTTTTTTGTAGACTCAATAATAAAAATAATGTACAGTCGTCTCAATTTTTTACTGGATCTAAAGAGAACAGAAACAAAAGAAGGTGCTGTGTCTTTTTTGTTGTTGTTTCTTTTGCTTTTTTGGTTGCTTTATTTTTAGACTTGCTAGATAGTAGGTCGGCTGCTGTGAAAACTGCTATTTATATGTTTGTTAATATCACTTGTCACAGCAGACTTATTAGCTAGCTGGGAGGCTGCGAAAAGTGATATTAACAAACATGCAAATATCACTTTTCACAGCAGACTTACTCAGCCCTAGAATCATAGAATATCCGGGTTGGAAGGGACCTCAGGAGGTATCTAGTCCCACCCCCTGCTCAAAGCAGGACCGATCCCCAGCTAAATCATCCCAGCCAGGGCTTTGTCAAGCTGGGGGACAAATTAAGCCCTGGATGGAGAGGTGGGTAGGGAGGCAGCGGGGGTCAGGAGCATTGGGGTGGGAAGGTGGCGAACCTGGAGCCAGAACCCAAAGCCCTGCGGTCAGAGCCCGAAGCCCCATAGCTGGAGCCTGCCACCCACCACCCCAGGGCTGAAGCCGGAAGCCCAGCGCCCTGGGAAGCTGGCTGCCTGCTCTTCTGGTGTTTGTGGCTCCAGAGGGGGACACGGCCCAACCCTTGCTGGCGGCCCCACGGGAAGGGCCACTGCTTTGCCCCGCCCCTCCCCCATCACTGCCCAGTAGGCTGTGGCCACAAGAAAAGCCCCACATTTGAGAAACGCTGATCTAGACTCTTTCAGGAGTATGACGTTATTGACATAATCTGGGACCATATAGAACATGGTTGCAACCAAAGTCCTGTAGTGGCACCAAATCTTGTATAAAGGGGGTCAAATGGGGTGTCTAAGACAAGGTTATGGTTTGCTGGTTATGATTATGCTGTCTATATGTGTGTATCAGTTTTGAAGTTGAAGTTATAAATATTGGCTCTAAACTGTCTGTATTTCAAACTTATGCTATGCTTCTGGGAAACACCCCAGACAAGTTGGTGTTAGCTCTGCCTAGCCTGCTTGATGGCCCTGTAGTAGATTGGGGCCGCGGTTCGGCCCTCAGCGGGGCTGTGGGGTAGCCCACCGCCTCGCTACAGTCAGAAAAGAGCCCCGAGCCCTCAATCAGGGTGGGGCAGTAATCACACAGTCAGGCAAATACCCAGGCCCTTAAGCAGGGGCTGGGTCAGTTTGTGGCAGCCCAGGCCCTAAGTCAGGGTGGGGCAATAATCAAATAGTCAAGCAAATACCCAGGCCATTAAGCAGGGGCTGGGTCAGTTTGTGGCAGCCCAGGCCCTAGGTCAGGGCGGGGCAGCAATCCAATAGTCAAGCAAATACTCAGCCTCTCTAGGCCAGGGAAAAAGGGGGAGTCTGCCACCCAAGGAGTGGGTGGCAGGGGGGACACAGGCCCTCCCACTCCACTGTGTCCCAGCCCGGGGCCCTAGCAGCGACGGACGTTCTCTGCTGTCAGTGGGGATCCTGGCCGCAACACACTGACATCGGCTCTGGCAGTGCAGCAGCCAGACTGGGGTCGGCTGCCCCCGGGCTACTTCCACACTCCCCCTCGTAGGGTACCTGGGCCGTACTAGTGTCCTCGGTGCTCTCCACCAGCATCGGTTCCTCCGGGTAGGTAGCGAAGGACAGGCTTGGCTCCTCCTCGGGGTAGCCGGCACGGGGCAGGCTGGGCCAGTCCTCCTCGGGGTAGCCGGCACGGGGCAGGCTGGGCCAGTGCTCCTCGGGGTAGCCGGCACGGGGCAGGCTGGGCCAGTGCTCCTCGGGGTAGCCGGCACGGGGGAGGCTCGGCCAGTCCTCCTCGGGGTAGCCGGCACGGGGGAGGCTCGGCCAGTCCTCCTCGGGGTAGCTGGCACGGGGGAGGCTCGGCCAGTCCTCCTCGGGGTAGCTGGCGAGAGGTAGGCTCGACCGGCCCGGTGAGTCAGCAGGCTGCTTGGGGCCTGCGGCTGTCTCCCAAGCGGGAGCTCGGCCCGGGACGTCTGCTCTCTCCGCCGGCCTGGGCTCCACTGAGCTCTGCAGGCGGGCTTTTATACTTCCGGGTCGGGGCCGTGACCTTGGAGGGGCGGGCGCCGGCCCCGGTGGCTCCACCCACGTTGGTAGTAGGGGAGGTTCGGCCTTCAGCAGGGCTGTGGGGTAGCCCACCGCCTCGCTACAGGCCCATTAAGGACCATCAGCTATACAATTGACCCATTGAGAGAAGGCAAATACACCTTGTAACTCAGCAAAGTATGCAGGGACTGGCCCATGTGACTCCAAACTCCATTTTGCTGTAATTTTCCACAGTAAGGACAAAGAGGTGTTCTTACACCTGGAAAAGACTATAAAAAGGCTGATGCCTCTCCTCCATCTTGTCTTCAATCCTGCTTCTTACCTCTGGAGGGACTTTGCTACAAACAGAAGCTCTACACAAAAGACTGAGGACCCATCCCAGCTGGGGATGTATTCCAGAGACTTGATTTGAACCTGCAGTTTATTCTATCACTGCTATAAGCCTGAACCAAGAATGTTGCCATTACTGTATGTCATTGATTCCATTTAACCAATTCTAACTCTCATCTCTATCTTTTTCCTTTTATGAATAAACCTTTAGTTTTTAGATTCTAAAGGATTGGCAACAGCGTGATTTGTGGGTAAGATCTGATTTGTATATTGACCTGGGTCTGGGGCTTGGTCCTTTGGGATCAGGAGAACCTTTTTTCTTTTCCTGGGGTATTGGTTTTCATAACCATTTGTCCCCATAACGAGTGGCACTGGTGGTGATACTAGAAAGCTGGAATGTCTAAGGATTGCTTGTGTGACTTGTGGTTAGCCAGTGGGGTGAGACCGAAGTCCTCTTTGTCTGGCTGGTTTGGTTTGCCTTAGAGGTGGAAAAACCCCAGCCTTGGGCTGTAACTGCCCTGTTTTAAGCGATTTGTCCTGAATTGGCACTCTCCGTTGGATCCCGCCAGAACCGCATCGCTACAAGGAGTAAATGTACTCTGTGTTCTTTGCTGCTTAAGAGGCAAGCTGCTATGTGCTGCATTAGCCAGAGTTGCCTTTTATCTTCAGCCCCAGCTCCAGTGAGCTACAACAGTTTCATCTAAAGGCATGGCTCACTGGACCTAGTTCCTGGATCAGGAAGGGCAGAGTCTCCTGCAAACTGGATGTGGAAGAAGGCACTTCTGCTCTCCTGCCATGCGGGCAGGGGACTGGACTCGATGACCTCTCGAGGTCCCTTCCAGTCCTAGAATCTATGAATCTCTGCATGTCAAAAGTGGCAACGAGTCCAATCAGCTCCGGAGACTTTGCACTACTCTCATGATCAGAGGGCAGGTGTCCAGGATGAAGGGTGTGGTCAGTGTCTTGGCCAGCGCCTCACAATGTAAATAGCCATGTGATATTTGAAATACAGAGCACATGCCATTTGTGCACATGAGAACTCTCCACAGCAGTTTAGTCTCTGCATGTGAATGGGACACGTCATCGGATGGTTTTATTTGCATCTATCTGATGAAGAATCTATAAACCTTCACAAACTTTAGAACAAAACTATCCTTCCATTAAAATACTAAATAGCTAACCAGTAAATATTTAGAGGGCTGAATCCCAGGCAAAGTGTGTAGCCAGTGAGAGCCAGAGCAAGTCCAAGGCAGCTGGTGGGATGTGCCAGCCAACTGATGTGAGTGAGGTAATGCTGTACACCATGAGAAGAGGCCCTGAGCTTGGAACTTCCATCAGTATCAGCGGGGGTGGGAAGGATTGTTGAGATTTTGCAAGAAATTTTTGGAGTGAAATAGAATAGGCAAATTCCCAACTCATTTTTTTAAATTCTTTCCAAATTAGTTTACCCACCTATTAAGTGGGCACAATACTTGCCTATAGTTGCTGCAACTAAAAAGACAACATTTACCAGCAGGTGTCACACACACCGTGGTCTCCAAGACACTGCACACTTTCCTGTGTTTAGGAGAGAAGAAATCTGTGCTGTCTAGACACCACTCTAGGGTAATGGTGGGCAGGGCTGACTTTGTAATGGTGCCGCTATAGTTAATGCTTGTATAAAGCGCTCCCTTTGCAGATGTGAAGTACTAAAGAGTTCAGCCAACTTGTTCAAATATTGGTGCCCAGAGGTAAAGGTGGATTCGGTTCTCTCTCTTCGGGCACTGAAATTGGAAAATTTTGGCCTTCAAACAAAATTAAAAGCTAGTCGCCATCATTGTAGTGTGTGAGCACCTCACAACCTTTATTGTACATCTCCTCACAGAATGTCCCGGAGGTAGGGCAGGGCTGTTCTTGCCATTTCGCAGATGGGGAACGAAGGCACCAAGAGACGAAGTGACTTGCCTACGGTCACACAGGAAGTTTGCAGCAAAACAGAGAATTAAACCCAGGCCTTCTGCGCCTCAGGCTAGCAACCCGATCACTGGACCTCCCTTGCTGCCTTGGGCTGAGGCTGGGTTTGACTGGTTTCAGCCTGGAATAAGTTCTAGGAAACCTAGGTGATGAATTCTGCAAATGGGACTCATGCTGGAAGTAGTGACCCAACCTGCACTCTAGTAGCACTAATTGGCAAGTTGAAATATTTCCTAGAAGCCCAACAGGTTTTCCTTTGAATCAAAAATAGGGCAACCAGACAGCTCTGCTGAGGCTCTGAGAGGAGCCAGCCTTTCAGTGATTACATTTTGAAGAGCTCTTCAAAGCTAAAGGTTTTCATTGGTCCCTTCTGGCCTTGGAGTCTTTGTGATCATCTAGTCTGACCTCCTGCATGGCACAGGCTATAGGACTAGTCAGGGCCGCCCAGAGGATTCAGGGGGCCTGGGGCAAAGCAATTTTGGGGGCCCCTTCCTTAAAAAAAAGTTGCAATACTATAGAATACTATATTCTCGAGGGGGCCCCTGCAGGGCCCGGGGCAAATTGCCCCACTTGCCGCCCCCCCCGGGCAGCCCTGGGACTAGTTTGACTTCCTGTGTAACCCAGGCCCATACGACTGCCCTCCATTAATTTCTGTTGGAACTAGAGCAGACCTTTTAGAAAAACATTCTGTCTGGTTTTTTAAATGGTCAGTGATGGAGAATTGTTCTTCTGGTTAATGACCTCCACTGTTAAAAATTTGCACCTTATTTCCAGTCTGAATTTGTCTAGCTTCAGCTTCTAGTCATTGGATTAGGTTAGACCTTCGCTGCTAGACTGAAGAGCCCTTTATCAAATTTCGGTTCCCCATGTAGGTTCCTATAGACTAATCAAGTCACCCCGTAACCTTCTCTTTGTTAAGCTAAATAGATGAGGTCCTTGAGTCTCTCACTCTAAGGCAGGTTTTCTAATCCTTCACTCATTCTTGTGGCTCTTCTCTGAACCTTCTCCAATTTATCAACCTCCTTCTTCAACTGTGGGCACCAGAACTGGACAAAGTCTTCCGGCAGCGGTTACCCCAGTGCCAAATACAAGGTAATGTAACATCTCTACTCCCAGATAACATTCCTCTGTTTATACATCCAAGGATCGCATTAGCCCTTTTGGCCACAGTGTTGCCCTGGAGCTCATGTTCAGCTGATTTTCCACCAGGACCCACAAATCTTTTTAGAGTCACTGCTCCCAGGAAAGAGTCCCCCATCCCGTAAGTGTGGGCTGCTTGTTTTGTTGCTAATGTATAACTTTACCTTTGGCAGTATTAAAATGCATATTGTTTGCTTGCGCCCAGCTTACCAAGTGATCCAGATCGCTCTGTATCAGTGACCTGTCCTCATTACTCACCATTCCCCCAATCTTTGTCTCATCTGCAATCTTTACCAGCAATAATTGTAAGTTTTATTCCAAGTTTTTGATAAAATGTTAAATAGGACAGGGCCAAGAACCGATCCCTGAGGGAGACCACTAGAAAGGCACCCATTCGATGATGATTCCCCATTTATAATTATATTTTGAGACCTGCCAGTTAGCCATTTTTTAATCCATTGAATGTGTACTATGTTCATTTTGCATCGTTCTGGTTGGGTTTTTTTTTTAAATCAAAATGTCATGCTGTACCAAGGAAACTCATAAATCTGTGTCCATATGAAAAGACCTAGAGCCCTACAATGTGCCAAGAAAATTGCTGGGAAAGAGATTCAGTCAGTTATCTGTCACAGTTTGAAGTAATGACCCAATATCAGCCATCCGTTTCCATATAAAATACTCCCTAAACTGACACAGATGGAAAGCAGTACTGATTTGCACTGAACACATTTGAACAAGCTAGTGATGGTTTTCATTTTACTTCTTAACAGCTGCGGAGAGAGATTTTTGCAGAAAGAAAAGCAGACTGCACTTTCCTCACTGTGAAACAATTCAAACAATAGCAGAGTTTCCCCAAATAGTCTGTGTTTAAAATCATGCAGAGTTCAGCTTGCTCCACCCAGCAATTCTGCCAACTTAGTCCTAAACTCCCCTCAAAACCAACACATTTTGGTCGGACTTTACAAAGCTTCCATGTCTAAAAATGCAAACTTTCTACAGCTGAAGCTGACAGAAAAACAAAGAAGGCAAAAGAGAGCATTAAATCTTACCCTGGAAGGCTTTTAAAAGTCACAGCAACAGTTACTGCCCTCCATAGCACTCGAATACACTCCTCTCTTCTCATTTATACGCTGCTTGATCCCCTCCCGAGATCAACTTAACTCCTCTGGTTATTGCACACACAGGATGTGCAGCTAGGAAAGCAAAGTTGCTCTAAACTGGGAAACAAGCACTAGAGGGTTTGTCTCCGATGTTAAAATCCACTGCAGACCCGGTTTGCTCTGTGATGAACTGGTGACTAAATTTACTCTTAATTCCTTACTACTGACTTCACTGACTGGCCTTGGCTACTTGCCAAATTCTTCTGTCTTTTCCCCCCTCCTGTTTCCTGTAGATAGGGAAAGTGGATTTGCTCCTTTGAGAAAATAAAACATAAAAATAAAAATGCCAGTCACAGCACGCTGTGAAACACCCGGGCAGGAAGGCAAAGCGCCCAGCACGGGAATGTCCAGCCTGGATTCCAGGGGCCACCGCTGCTCTTGCTACTTATCACTTGCTAGTGTGGAGGGCTTTAGAAAGGGAAACGAAAAGGCGGAGAAAAAGCAAACCCTTTGACAAGGGGGAAGCAAAAGCAGGAACTGGTGAGTGGATCCGTTTCTGAGCACCAGAGAGCCCTTCTCTGTTTCGATCCCAAAGTCACGTAGCTCTCTTTAGGCACAGAGGAGCTGCCCTACCAGAATAAGACCGGGGTCCTTCTCATCCAGTCTCCTGTCTCCAACAGTTACCGGTAGCAGATGTTACAGAGGAAGGTGCAAGAAACCACACAGACTACGTCATAATCGAACCACAGGGTTTCCTCCTAGCTCCAAGGCTGCCAGTGGCTGGCTTCTGTCACAAAGCATGAGGGCTTATGCGCTTTATAAAACCGTATTCCAATTCCTCCTCTGGTCTCCGTGATACCCATATTGCCTTCTACATATGGAGTGCAGCTGTCAAGATCAGCTTCCTGGCCAGTCACTCAGAGCACCTACACGACTCTCTGACTGTCCCCCTGGCTCCCCCTCCTCCAGGGGATCAAGTTCAAGTTTCTTGTTCTCACGTCCAAAACCCTTCCCAATGCAGCCTCCACCTGCCTGTCTCCCATCACTTCACCCTCCACCACTGATGCAAGCCTTGACCTCCATGTGTCCATGTCTCCCACAGTCACCTTCGTGTTTCCTGCCACGCTGCCCCTTAAACATGGAAGCCACTCGCTGAATGCATCTGGGAAGCCACTGCCCTCTCCTTAGGATCAATTCTACCGAATGCCTGCAAGAAATGAGCCAACTCGGAGCGGCCAGGTATGGAGAGCATTGTGGAGAAGCTCATTTATTTAAAATTAAAAGCCTATATATGTTGTTACTTCTCCTCCTCCCCCATCCCATTTGTCTGTCTGTCTCCTTACCCCGGGCGTTCTTTGGGGAAGGAGTTACCATGACTTCTCTGTGTGTGGCCAGTATCTCACTCGCGGTGGGTGGGGCTGGAATACTAATCAAAAAGGAAATGCATTCATGAATTAACTGATTCATAATAGCAGTAGGAAAGCAAAGGATTCTTCGGCCACGTGCACAAGCGTGGTCAGGGGCTGCTCCTGGAAGAGCCTAGCAATGAAATTGGTGTTTGTTTATTAGGTCCAAATCTTCCTGTCAAAGGAAGAGCCACAGAAGACGCTGCGTGCAGCAGGACTGGGGCCATTCCACAGGTGACTGGGGCCATTCCACAGGTGACCGAGTACCTCTCCACCCCTGCAAGCAACCTCTGAAGCACATGGCCTATCACTGCTGATCCCAGGGTTAGTCTCGTAGGATACATCTATTTTCAGGAGGGGCATCTTTCATTCAATCTTTTTCCCACATACTGCAAGGCAGAGAATTAATACAAAGAGCCAATCTAGGAAACAGCAGGCAGGACCGCTCTCCTTGGGAGTCGGATCATTCTCACGCAGGATTTCCTGCTGATAAATGTTTAGTTTTACCAGGAATTCTCTCCCCTTCCCAGTACAGAGCATTTCTTCTGCTTCTGCCAGCTCAGCTGCAACATTCGCTCTCTCAAGGGTCTCATTCTCCTTACACTTGTAAGGGCTATTTCAGCCGTTCCCGAGTCCACCTGATTTTGGTTCCTCTCCATATTTAATGGGCCTCCTGCTCTCTCTTTGCCTTACAGTTTCCCTCTCTCCTTGGGCACAGAATTTTTTTTCATGTTACCAATATTAGCTGATGACATTTCATTATATGAGTCTCCCACTTTCTCTTCGCTGCTGCTTTATACTCACATCCTACGACTCCCCCCTTGTCAGGTTTGTTATTTCTGTCTCCTTTTAAACAGAAGTGGATCTAACCCCAAACTGCTCTGACCTTTGTGGCTTGGACCACGCTTCTCCTAGTAGATCACATGGGCTGGCTTGCTCCCCAGCTTTTCAGTCACACTGGAATCCACATGACCTGCTTTGGTGAGGATTCCATTTTTTTAATCTTTATTTCTTCAATTACCCTTTCGCCATGGACTGCACTGGGGCCGCTCACGGGAGTGAAGCGAAGCACGTATACTAAGCGTCTGGAGGACTGGGGATGGCACAGCGTTATCAATTCAGTTACAGCATGGCCACTCGCACCAGGATTTTCCATCATGTCTATGTCCACAAGCAACCTCTTCTCAATGGTCAATAACGTTAATTTGCTCTTTTGTGGGTGTCTGACTGCATCGGGTGCTGGACTGACAACTCTGAAGACTGATGCTGTCTAGCCCTAGAAGTACAACACAGACAGCAGTAGGTTCCCCCCACTGCCCTGCCAATGGGCCTGACTCCTGCTCTGGAAGGGAGTTCAGTCTCTAGCCTCTCTAAGAACGTGTTCGCCAGGCCAGGGTAGCCACCACCAGGCCTGTCTCCTCCCTTGTATCCTATCCTGTCCTGATTGTCAGCCACAGCCAGAAAGCTGACTCTCCAGTCTAAGGTGGGGCTGATTTCAGTGCAGACCATCCTGTCCTGGCTCCTGAATGCCATCTCACCCTCAATTCATTTCTCACTGGGCTCCAAACAGCCATCGGATGGCAGTGTGGGAATGATTTCCAGTCAAACTCAACCTGTGCTGGATTTGAACCAGAAAGCAGCAGGTGGGAGACTCCACATCCCATTGCCAGTCCCTTCAGGCATCCAATCAGCCTTCCCCCTAGAACTGACTCCAATCTAGCTGCCGTCTCAGCTCTTGGCAACCAACATTTCCCCTCTGCATAGTTCAAAAGGTTCTCTGATGATCTTTGCTTTGCTGTACACGTCTCGTCCATTCCAGTCTCTCCTGAGCACCCAGTCACGTGGCCGTATCTGTTTCAGAATAGCGTTTACCTGCCGCCTAACTTCATACGCTAGAGCACGTGCAGCAAAGCTAGGCTGCCCCCTGACCACTGCAGGCATCTTACAAAACAATGGCTGCAGGGCTCCTTTCCCCCCTGACCAGCAGCCTCGTCTCTAGCTGCCAATTCATCTGGGGCAGCAGGGGCAGGCAATATTTTTGAAGTTAATTGAAGGAAGCCAAGGACACTGACAAGTTTTTACAGGCTGTGACAGGGTGGCCTGCCCCTTTAAGAGCCAGGGGTCTGGGGCTCACCAGCCCTGTTCAGTCAGCCCCCGGGCCCCACTCAGTTTGGAAGGAACCTCGGAGAGCAAGGGGGGGCTGCTGTGGAAGGTCCTGGAAGAACTGCAGGGAAGTGGCCTGGGAATCAGTGCCCTGTCCCTGCAGAGAAAGATTTAAAGGGAGCCCGGAAAGCGGGCCGAAGGGGAGCCCAAGCAGAGTGAAAAAATTGTGTCAACTTTTGTTACCCCAGAAGGGGAGTAAACTCAGAGCTACCCAGCCAGGGGGCTGAGCCACATGAACCCCTGCTGGGGGAGAGAGAGAAACCCCTGGTGAGAGGAAACTGAGGCAGGGAGCACCTGCAGTGCCACACTCAGCCAGCAGGGGGTGCTACAGAGCAAAAAACCCATGAGACACATGCTGCCTAAAGCTTTCCTAATGAACCCTGGATAGTTCCCCAGCTGTCCAGCCCCTCACTCCCCACAACACCCCTAGTTTACCTGCTCTGCCCCCCCAAAATCTTCCTAGGTCTCGCCACTCAGCACCCCTCACAGGTCAGGAGTTCACGGCCAGGTTTGTCTGCCGCTTGCCATGGGCGCTTGGAGCTCTGTTGAGCAGGCACCCCCGTGCAAGCCTCTGGTGCATCCTCTCCCAGCTGCCCTTACTGTCCCGTACCCTCCCTCCCCGGCTGACTGGCTGAGGGAGTAACTGAAGAGGGCACAGGAAGGTGATGCTGTGGAGTGACTTGAGAGTGGGAGGTGCATCACAAAGCACATCCTGCTTTCCCAAGAGATCCACTGTAAAACTCCACACACACCCCCCCGGCTGGCCAAATTCAGTCAAACGATCCAGAGTCTGGTCACAGGCACCGGTGGACATTCAGACCGACACCAATGATTTCAAAGAAATTGCTCTGGATTCATACCATTGCCGAAACTGGTTTTTTGGGTGCAACTTGCATAGAAGCCTCTGGGCCAAATTATCTATCTATCTATCCAGGTTCTTATTCTGCGCCCACCACTGTGACACCTGACTCCAAGAGGGCGATGTAAGTTACACATCAGGTGTGCGCTGATAAAAAACAGGTTCAGCGGGTGTGTAGACAATAATGGGACTCACACTGATTAGGATTCAGCAGGAGTACAGGACCAGTACAATTTACACACGGCGGGGAAGAAAGCAGCTTTTCCTGCTACACCCCCTAACAGGAGGGTGTAAGATAAAGGGGCCTGTCCCACTGCACCATTCAACATCCTCCCAGGATACCACAGCTGTGTAAGCCACACTGTGGGCACACACTACCAGATCAGTGCAAGCTACTGTGCCATTACACCTCTCTCACACTCAGGGCCAAGCCCTAACTCCATTAACTTCAGCAGGGTTCTTCTGGATTTACAGCAATGGAACTGAGCAGAACTTGGTCCCAATCTGTAATCCACATCCCCCCCGAGCTACCCCACCCCTGAACTCGGCCCTTTCAGTCCATAATAAATTGTGCAACATCATCTCGTTGGCGTGTGTGTGTGTGTAATATACACTCTGGCCTTGGGTACAAGAGGAACATTAGTGATGGGAATTGAAGATCTAGAGTTGGGCTGTGCACCCCCTAGCTCAGGAGTTTGGGGGCCTGGCAGCCTTCCAGAGCCTGGATCTAGGCCCATGGCCTGTAACACTA